GAGTGATAAGTTTTCTCTGATGCAATCATTTTACAAGTACAATTGGCAAGTAGTTTAAGTGCATAAATTGTGATTTTCAAGAGTTATATATAATTTTCTTATTAATGTATTAAAGTCAAGTAACTGCTTTGTTTTGCTTGAAAATATAGTTTATGATTCAATCTTTTTTTCCTTTAAGGCATGTAAGTTTTTTTAATGCATCAGTATTGTCTTGCTGTAATTTTGGTATCTAAAAAATAGCTTCCATTTTACATTTATGCTTGATTGGGGGGGGTTGAGAATCTGGTATTTTCAAATTAGCAGCTTTACATTTTTGCTTATTTAGCCAACGTAATTTTTTAATGCTGATTCACATTATCAAAATTCTGTCAGGTATTATATGTAGCTGATTTTATTATTTTCTGAAGTATTATATGTAACAAAACTATAAAGCATGAATGCCTGCATATCCATTCTTTGCCTTTATTGCTGACCATACTTGGTCATTTCTGTTTTAATCATCATCTGAACAAAGTGATACTACTTCTTGAACAATTTCAGAAGTTACTGCTATTACCCACTACCACTGCCATTCACTAGTACATTATGAATTCAGTTTTTGTAGTACTTTATTAAAAAGCCTTTTTTCAGTGTTGTAATTATAATTTTTCTTTGTTATATAAAATACTGAATTATACTGATATCTTGCTTCATTGGTTTAGTGAAAATACATCATGACTACTAAATTAGCATAAATGGTTTATTTTGTTACAGCAAAATTTCTGTCTTGCTATCTTTGTGAAGTGGTCCACCACATTTAAATGTTATTCACCTTCTTCTTATTGTGGCATCCATTATAACCTGATTTTAGATATAAATTTCTGTATTTTATACAATCTATGATTTTGATGAGAAATTTATTTATGTTAAAAATACATCACTGAAATCATTATATGCTTATGCTCATCTAAAATATTACTAAAGTAAAAAAATTGATAAACTGTGGTGTAAATCTTATGTTAAATATAAAGGGGTATGAGAAATTTGGGTATAATAATCTTTATATTTCCTTGTTAACCAAATTACAATTCTAGTAGATAAATACAACCCGCTGACAAAGTGTTTGATTATCAATACTTTTTGGCTGACTACAGAATATTTGCATTTTTTTAAGATTTCATTTCCAACAGCTGACTGGGTGGGCTGCATGTGCTTGGAGTGTTTCCATGGTTTTCCATATGCTTAACTTGAATACAGACTAGTTTTTCCTAGAGAACCCTTCATAAAGTTGTAAATTCAAAGGATATTAAATGCCTTGCCATCATAATGTAAAGCTGAGTTTCATGAAAGTGCTCAGATATGCGTATTTGCACTAATAATACAATTTTTGGTTTTCTGCTTGTTTTTCTTGGTGAGTTATTTAAATCTATTTTTTGCCACAAGCTGAATTTCTTGAAATTTTTTGTACTTACATATTTAAGATGACAATATATGTCGAGAATTTTTGGAGCTTGTGAGTCTAAATTACATGGTTAGCTTATATACGGATCTGTTAAACTCACAAAGAACAGGTATCTTTCTGTTAGTCGAACTTGAGCAAAAAATTGCCAAATATAACACTTTTTTATTTCTTGAGTTTATGAAAAAAAAAAAATAACCTTAAACGACATGAGTTTTTTGTTTTATGAAAAGTCGTTTTATTTTCGAAATTGTGTATATTGCTGGTTCATTGCGTCATGGGTAGAGTGAAAAATTTAATTAAGACATGGAATTGAGCATAGATACCACAGTTTGTATAGGAGAAGCAAAAAACAGAAAAAATGACCTAGCTTTAGGTAAGGTTACCAGAGTTAAACTATCATTGTTGGTATCTGGTGTTGTGCTTTATAGCACATTAATTGGAAAATATTCTACCCATTTTACTTGCTTGACAGCATTTTCGCCCTGATGGTGACATGTTTCACTGTTACAGGAATTTTTTTCTGTTTGGCCTTATTAACGGGTTTTGAATTTTAGGTAAATTTTTGTTGAAAAATATACTCTCAGCTTATATACAGATCGGCTTGTATTCAGAAATATACGGGAATATTTCATCTTATAAATGCAATACAAAAAATATAACAAGCCCAATTAGAGGTAAACTTTATTTCATGAATGGAGGCACTGGTAAGCATTATTGTTGAACATTTGTTCTAATAATACACCAAAGCCTCAATGCTGGCATAGAAGAAATCAGTATCAAGTATTCAAAACCACATTAAAATGACTTGCCTAACATCCATATCAGTTATGAATCTCCCACTACTCAAATGTTTCATCAAAGGTCTGAAGAGATGTTAACTGGTTGCCAGATCCGTTGCAAACAAAGAATGTCATTTTCATTAAACCCACATCATAAGCATAAAAGACAATCTCAACTTCACTTTGTGATCATCTGTGAACTGCAAAGCACCCAGTGTGAGAATGCCTTTTTCAAGCCCAATTGTTCAGTAATGATGATGTGCACAGTGTCCTCAAAGATACTGTGTTTTTTGTTGATAAATCATATGCAGCAGTTATTTTGAATCAAGAGCTTTAAGAAGGTAAATATTGCTATCCATGGCAGGTTTGCTTGACAAACAGCTTTTTGCTCATGTTATAAGGTATTTCTTCCGCCTTCTTAGCATGCCTTCGTGGTGTAATGGTCAGCACACTCGGCACGTGTTTGTGAGGTGAATGATGATTCTCCACCACCAGGATTTGTCGATTGAGTCCCCCAATCCCCAGTCGCTTTTTAAAAAGGGAAGTATATAACATATTATTCCCACCTTCTTGGCATGCATTTTTACATGATATGACATTAGCATCATCATTTCAACGAGTTGACAATCAAGTTTTGTTGGTGTAGTTTAATTTAGATGCAGAAAAATCACACTTGGACTTCAACCACATTTCTGTTAGTGCAGCCTTCTTAAAACATATTTTGCCATGCTGACTCAATACCTGTGACATGTATTAGGGTCCAGTGCTATAGTAATTTTTGCTTCCCAGGCAGGAAATTCAAATAAATCAGAGTGTTGCTACATTCATGAAGAGCTCTTGGTATCTTTCTTTTTGAAGTGTCTTAATTTTTTGTCTGATTCCCTTTGGATTCTTATAATTACAGATAATTTCAGCAGTAGGGGTTCTGTGTAAAAATTTTAGTGATCAGCAATCAAAATCAATTGACCCCCAGTTCACCTTAAATTTTACATTGTCAGAAAGCTCAGAAATGTATGAAAAGGTCTTACTGTTCAGATTTTGTTTCTTCATTGTAAAATATTGAATGCTGTATGGCATGAAGGTAATTAAATATTCAAACAAAGAGAATGGAGTATGTTTATTTTTTATGTAACAAACTTTAATGAATTCACTATTCTTTTATAAAAACAAAACTGTTTGAAAAGTTATCTGATGAAGAATTGGATTTAAAATTACAAAGTTCTTAATATAAAACAAATAAAAAATGTATTTGAATCAACAAAATTTAAATATAGTAAAAAAAATTGTGTTATACAACTTCAGCAGAATGCATTAAAATGTAAAAGTAATTAGTTAACACAGCATTTCTGATAATGTTAATTAAAAAGTAAAATATTGAGCTGCCCATAAATAAATTTTCAAACAATGCAGTTATTTTATGGGCGCCCCATAATTTTACTTTTTTAATAACGTATGATGGAGAATATGATAGCTAAAGATTTTTTTACCCTTTAGGGCATCTTAAACCATGTAACTTAACTGTTTTTAGTTACATATTTTCATGTTACATACACATATGCAAATTTTGTACTAGACAAATTATTTTAGAAAGCTTTAAAAAAATAAATAGTTTCCTAATTTTTCATGACCCCTTTTTAAAAATGATTTACTTATTTCTAATAGCTTTTATTACTAACATTGTTGTGATAAACTTGTAAATTCTTAAAGAATATGTAAAATTGTCTTTAGTATTAATTATTTTCATATGGAAATACGATTGGAATTAAATCCTATTGATTTATACTATTTGTCATGTTGCTTAATATAACAAATACCTATTGTGGACTGACTTCTTTCATGTTAAATAATAAACAGCCGGAATGTAATTTGTACATTATGTTTCATAAAATATGCTAGTGAAAAGATAAATTATTTTATATATGTAGTCATTGATATAGGTAAAGATATAGCTGTAGATTAGCATAGGTAAAATAAAGCAATTTATTTTTCATGCTCTCAGTTGAGGAAACCAATTGTTCAGATATCAGAGAGCTGAGGTAAGAAAGACTTTGTGCTTTTGTAGTACACCAAAATTGTTACCTTTTCTTGTGTTTGTAATATATTCATCCATAATTATTGTTTAGATGTATATTTTAATTATTATTTGTTTTTAGTATTCTAGTTGCAACTCATTATTTTTTTTAATTTTATCTGAAATGTATTTTATATTGCAGTTATATAATATGGCCAATTCTGCATTTATATATACTTATCCATTAACTAATATTCATCTAAAAAGTTGTCATTTTTATGTATATATTATATACTAAAGAGATAATAATTAGATAAAAAGTAGATCATTAAAGGGTATCAGAAAATACGTAGATCAAACTGAGCAAAAATTATCCAATAAAATTTTTGTAACAAAAAATCAACGCAAAATATATACAAAAAATTTATAAAATAGTTGAAGATTCTTTGGTCTTTTTCAGGGAACACCCAAAAAATTCTCAACACATCCATGTTTCTGAATTATATCTCGATGGTTGTAAATTCTTGAAAGAATTGTAAAAAAGAATTAAAAGAGAGTGTCAATTAAGATTAATTTAATTTAATTTAAGTCCTCTAAAAGTGCAACAAAATAAAATTTTTTGTGAAATATTTTAATTTAATTGATTATCAAGCTATAATCTGCTCCAGTGTGACCCTATAAAAACATACACACACATATATATGTGTGTGTGTGTCTGTGTATGTACGCATGTATGTTCTATTTGATGCATATCTTTTCTTTTAAGCAGGATACATATCAAAAAATGCTGTGCCCATTTCCAACAACTAGTTGTGTAGGTCTGAGTAGCAGTAGCCTGCCTACTTCACCAGTTACCTCTGTACCCCATTCTAGAATAGGCACTGCAGGAACAAGTGCCAGTTGTTGCTCCTTACCTGCTGCCAGTCCTATGCGTCCAGATAATATGTTGCAGAGTCCCGAAGCAACATATACTGTTTCAACTCGAGAAATATTTCAATACCATTTCTATGCTGATAAACACCCTAAAAAGGGGAAGGACCAAAATATGTAAGTAATTGTGCTCCTTAATAAAAAACTTATTTTCATTTAACTCTTTCCCTGACTATGTTTTTAGTAATGTTATTTTAGTTATGGTTTTCAAGAATTATGATATGTTTAACAACCAAAATTCATATACATTTTCAAAATTTTTTTTAATTTTTTTGTTTTCAATAGTTACTTTGGTGAGAAGAAAATTTCTACTACCCATTCTCATACAGATTTGTTCATGCATATGTTTTTCTCAGGTATGGGAAATTCACAACAGTAAATGAATAAACAATATGAAACAGTAAATGAATGATGTTGAGTTTCTGAGCAAGCATCAATATCAAAGACTTTTGATATGATAACCACAGCCTTCTGTTTGCCATGAGACTTCTTGGGATAATCAATTATTTTGCAAGTCAAGGACAAAATTCAAGTTGGTTTTGTCACTGATATATATTCTGTTAACGATCGTTAACAAATAAGTGCTATGAAGGAAAGGCACCCACAGTTGAGCATATTAGTTGAAATTATTGCTCTGCACTCTTGTTGATATTTGAACAGTCTGTGATATTGACAGCCCATCAATCAAAAATTTAAATAAATGAGAACAAAATGTAAAATACAGTAAAAAATATTATTTAAAATATAAATGATTTGGACAAATGATTAGTTGTATTTTCAAATGAGCTGAGCTCTTTTAATTGTTCTTCACAATTGTTCTTTGAACTCCTTGCTAGTATTTCCCTGAAATTGCATTTAATTATAACCATTGCCTTCATGATATCAACATTCACCTTCGAATTTTCTGTTGTCCATGAATTATTTTTACTGAACACACCCTAATACTACTAGCTGCATTGATACCAGATAAACAAAGCACAAATTCTGAAATTCTGGAGCTTTTGTGAGCTGCAAACAAGGACTATGATTTTCATTGAAATAATTTGGTCAACACTTATTAGTCAGTGTGTCTTCATTATTCCATTGTTAAGGTTTTCAAACTTTACATATCTTTTCAAATGTGATATTTCAGTGAATACAATTTCCAGTGCAAAATATTTGTTTACAGGCAAATGTTTTTTCATGAAAACTATTATTTATTTTCTTAAGGTCAAATATATTTGACATTTTAAATTAATCCATTTAAAATGAGTTAACTTCCTTAATCTGTTTGTCCCATAATTCTAGATAAGAAGATATGGTCGCATAAAAATTTATAATGTTATAAGGTATTTCTCCTGCCTTCTTAGCGAGCCTTTGTGTTGTGGTGGTCCGCACGCTTAGCACATAATTGAGAGGTCCACGGTTCAATTCCCGGCGAAGGCGTTGCTAATTTTTCTATTTCTCCTGCTTCCAAAAATACCTAATGTCTCTACAATTTGATTAAGAAACCATTTTTGGCCTAGTACAAAGTCTGTAATCCGGACGTCCATTATCCGGAATGATCTATAATCCGGACCTCAAAGCCACAAACTTACGCATGCACGTAAAGCCAGTAAAGCGTTTACCCATGCGCGCTTCTGATAGTGAAGAAAGTAACAGAGAACGTTATTGAAAACGAAAAAATGTCGATTGACAAGTTAATCGGTATTCTCGACAGAGCAATAACAAGACTTGAACAGTGGAACCGAGCAAGAAATTATGTCTGTTTATAGAATTAAAGAGAAAGTATTAGCACAAAAAATGAAGCAACTTAAACAACTTACATTGATAGAAATGTTTACTAAAGTAAACAAATAAATATTAAGCTTTTTTTTTTTTTTTTTTTTTTTTTTTGTAACTTTTGATACCCTTTAGACAGTGATTGCTCTTGATTTCATAAATTACGGTTTCATATTTTTAATTGTATTATTTCTGCATGCCATCTTACCAGATTTAAATTGATGATCTATAATCCGAAATCGCCGAAGTCCCGTTGAGTCCCTGGATTTTCAATTGTATTGTTTGCTACAGTATTTAAATTTAGTTGTAAAGATGAAGAATGGATTCTTTCTTTAAAGTTAAAAATAAGATTGTTATTTTCCTCTGAAATTTCATTAACTGTTCTTTTCTGTGCTTCCATCTTTTTTTTTTTTTTCTTTTTTAATTATGAAACACCGATGCACGTGTTTAGAGGAAATGAAGCCAAAGTTCGATTTGTGAATTTAAAACTATCGGACACTTATTAATTAAAAAAACATGACTTTAAACAATTATAACACTCTTCCAATTCAATCGCTTGTATTCTGCTTCCTCTGCATCAGCACCAAATTCCCGAATAGAATTTCTACCCGATTGTAAATATAAACGTGACTATAAATTTTGAGATTTATTTCTGCAATATCTACAGGAAGCAAATCTGATGCAGCTTGACCTGCACTATGGATTATGTGTGCTGCACAGCCTACTCTAATTATCAGGTGATTTAATTGATTATTCAATTGGGAAAACACGTTATTTGTTTCTTTTCTATTAACCCCTCCAAAATTCAAATTGATATTGTCATCACAATATTCCACCAATTTATTGGTCAAGTTATTTGAATCCAGCATATCAATAATGGACTTGGTGATTATTTCCGATATGTTTCTGGAAAGAGGGATTAAATCTAGAATTTTAACTTGAACACCTTTTTTGTGATCTGAATATCTAATGAAACAACTGCAAATCTTTGTAGTTTGATATACCTATGTAAATGTTTATTAAGCCAATGTTTTGTAAGTTGATTTTCAGAATGGATATTGTGAAGGGTTTTATTAAACTTTTGAATATTGCCTCAGTTTTTTGTACATGCACAACAAAATTTGTTTTCAAAAAATGCTATTAATTTTGCTGTACAGCCCATAGATCTAACATGACTGACTGTGTGCATCTGTGTGAAATGAAAATACTACTTCAATCGGTGCAAGCTTTCAGTATTTTTGCATATTGAAAAGGGTATTTTTTGTAAAGGTTAATTAGAAGAAAGCAATGTTTCTCAAATTGGGAACGCTTGTATTCTAATCTAATTTTTATCAGTGAAAAGAGCTCTTATCCAAAATTTTAATTTTTTTTTTTCCATAAACTCTTTTGTAAAGTGTGGTGCCTTATTCATGTGAAGGTTTTTCTATTCTTTTTGTACTCAGTCATGATATTCAGCAGATCTCATGTCTGTTGATCATTTCAGCATTGACAAGCTTACTTGTAAGCCCTCAAATTTACATAGGTGGCTGTTGTCTATAATGCTCAGTATGCTTGAGGGCTCAGATTGATTTAAAAATAGTCTTTTAAGATTTATAATTTTATATTAATGTTTTAGCACTTTCTTGACAATGACTTTAGTTTGTAAGGTTTTTCTACCTTATAATAAAGTCTCAAATTTATAGACTTTCTCTGTATATACATCATTTAAATAACTGTTAACAGATATCAAATACAAATGGCATATTTATGGGAGCAATAGCATTTAAACATGACAATTTCTACAAAATATGTACATTTTTGTATGGCTCAATTTTGTAATATTTGCATATCCTCCAAAAATTAACAGCATTATTTTATTGTTATTTTTGCGATAAGATTTTTATTTCTGCTTTCGAAAGATGCTGAAACTTTTCTCTACTTCTTTCATTCAGATTTATAAAATTGATCAGATGTATGCAAACTTTTGTGACTATGTATAAATGACAGTGCATAATTTAAAATAGCAATCTAAATAATTTTTTTGCATAATTAATATCATAAATAATAACCACTAGCAATATAGCAGTTATGGTTAGTTCAGTTATGATTCATAATTGCAGCAAATTCATTGAAAATGTGAAAGTTTTATGAAACTACACTTTAATCTTTCTTATCGATACTAATATAAAATGTTAAACTTTGTATTTGCATAATCTGTTAACTATAGCAGTAAAACAAAACAATAAACATATAATAAAACAATATCTTGGAAATACATCAATAAAAAAATTCTTTTGGCCCTTTTCTTATTCATTTGCAATCCAAGGTATCAGCTTAACAACAACAAATTTCTTTTAAATGCATGAAATAGTTTTCTTAATTTAATTATAGTTTCGAGTATGGCAATAAAATGTGGCCTCTTTTGTCAATTTTTGCATGCATTAATTAATATTTATGCATGTCATGCAATTTAACTTTGTTATTCATTTTAGATCTGCTGATATTGAGCCTGAAAGAGCATCTGGCTCTTTCAGTCAAGGCAGTATTTCTGAAAGTAGTTTTTCTTCATAGTATTCAGTAGGCATAAATCTGTTAATGTTGAAGATTGCCGTTATGTTCAAGTTTATTCTTTAAATAAAAAAGAATTTGAAACTGTTACTAAACACATCTATATGCTTAGAAACTCTTGAAAAATTCTTCTAAAAAATTCTGATTTTCAACAGCACTTGAATTTGAAATAAGATAGCTATATTTTGGGTATATTATGTGTCTAATAATCTTATTTTTAGATTAAAGCTTCTGGTTTCTGTATTCCTTCTGGAATTTCTCAGTTCTCCAGAGGTTAGTATTCTGCCCCATTTTTGCATATGCCTCCAAAAGAGATAACACTATGCTTGACATCTTTAAATTGTTTTTTGTGTTGCTATGTATTTCTATAAAAATTCAGGCACAAAATAATCATAAAGAATAATTGAAAAATTGTGATTTTGATCTTATTTGCTTCGTGGACTCGTTAGGAATTTTTAAAAAGGGCCTGCACCTCTATTTGTGGGAATGACCCTGTGGAAGATGTTCTGTATTAGAAAATGCAGATGTACAAAATTTACCAGGTGTATGCAGACTATGAACTAAAAACCATACTAAACCATTGTTTTAAATAAATCAGTGCTAAAAATAATAATAAGAAAAGCACATTATTCATGCCAGAACTGTGTCACAATTGCTGAAATTTATGCACACTTTATGAAATATTGCTTTAGTATTTTCTCTAGGAATTAAAAATGAAATAGTAAACATCATATTTGTATAAACTGTTAACTACAGTACTACAACAAAAACAATAAACATCATATATATACCTAAATATTAATAACCACAATATTAAAACAAAAACAATGTACTGGTTATAAGACAATTTCTTGTATATCTTCGAATAAAAATGTGCTTGTTTTCCCTTCTCTTGTTAATGTTGTAATTCTCTTCTCCTTTGATTGTAATCAAAGATAGCAGCTGAGTAATAAGAAGTTATTCAAAATACCTAAAATAGTTTTATTAATTTAGTAATACAGTAGAATTCCTTTAATTCATATGCCTTGAATGCAAAGATTGTATGGATTTGTGAATGTTGCAGATTATAGGGTTTGGTTTTCTAATTATGGTTTACCTTTTGACCTTTCTAATATCAATATTACATTTGGATGTAAATAACTAAAATAATGCAATATATTAAGAATTATTTAATACAAAACTATTATATATTACAATATAATTAATTATATACATATATTAATGTTGAAAATTATAACTTTCATTATTTTTTGGAACAACATTTTTGTTGTGGCTTGTCTTAACACTTTTGGCTTCTTTTCCATTGTTTTTACCTCATGTGTATATATATTGTCTTATTACTCGGTGTGTTATAATTTTTTTGTTCCTCAAAAGTTCAAATATTTTTGAAACCCTTATTGAAAGCTAGATTATCATTGAATGCTACACCCTGATTGAAAACAGTTTTTATTTCTTCATTATCAAATTCAACATCATAGTTTCATCAGCTGGGTTTAATGCACTGAAATCATTTCACCAGCAATCGGTTGTTATACAACAGGAGGACTTTCAACTTTGGAAGCCACTCAGTTTGAAACATGTTATTCTCTTAAGAATTCAGGCTAATCTGAAGCTGTATTTTCCAGGGGCGGGAGAATTTTGCTACTTTTGTATGTGATAACATAAAATCTGACAGTGCACAATGTCACTTTCAGTTTCAGTAAGGAGTTGTCAGTGGCCATAAAGTTAGTTAATGGTCATTTACAAGTCATTTCTTTATCCTTGAGAAATTCATTAATTATATTTTAGTTTAATTCATAAATTATATTTTAGTTTTAACAGGCATAAAATATTAAGCAAAAAATAAAGAAAAACATATTCACTTTTATTTACTAATGTATGGAAGCTGGAATACAATTCAAAATCAAAATAAAGTACAGTTAGGTGCCACTTACTGTGATTATGTTTGTCCATGACTATTTCAATAACATTAACCAAATGACAGCATTAAATGATGAGAATGATATCCCTCAAAGTTTAATGGAATTTAAGTAATTTAATATAGAAAAGTACTGGAAACATATAAATACATACTTTCACAGCATTTTAATCAAGGCAAATTTCATTAATATTTGATTGCAGTTATTATGGAAAAGTTCATTTATGAAGTGTTTATATTCGTAATGTTTCTAGAAGTTATTTGACACATGTTGTGCCCCTAATTTTAATAATCATAGGGTATTCTTCATCTCAGCATTGGTATGAAATCTGCTTTCATGATCATCATCATTTTCAGAAAGTTTGTCACAGGATGTTCTTGAATTGGTTTCAAAAAGTGACTGACAGATATCTTTTTTGTCACAGATGTTGAAGTTTAGTTTTTTCATCAGTATCCACTGAAGGATAAAATTCCTCACAGTTAATTGAAGATATTACTTTTTATTCTCAAACTTCTTTTAGTTTATCATTCAATAAAATGCTTAAAACAGTTCTTTATTATCTTTCCTGAGATGCAGTTTCAAGACATGTTCAACAAATGCAGCATGTTAAGAAGCCTAATTTTAGTTTACCTTTGCTAATTCATTTGCAAATATACAACTTGAATATGTTTTAAGAGTCACATTTATGTTATGTGTTAGGCACTTGTTGATAAGAAGAAAAATATCATTCTTCAGTTCATTATCCCACTTCAAATGCTGTTCATTAACAGCTACTGATATCAATCATGCCTTAGAATTACTTAGAATTATACTTATAGTAAGCTGGTAAACTCTTTACTCCTTTAAAGCATTAGTAAATTTTTTTCTTCTTTTGATTTTCTAAAGTGAAAGATAGTGATAAGTTTTTTTTTTTTTTTTTTTTTTTTTTTTTTTTACCACACATACTGACGCAACTTAAAACTTTAATTCAATCTTTTGAATTTCAGTCTTGTACAGGTACTATGTTGAGGTAATGCATGATAGCATATACTTGTTTTGTCTATGTTCCTGCAGCAGGGAAATCAACATTTTTTTTTTCCATCATGACTATGTTTATAAACAATATTGTCTATTTTTTCCCATTCGCTAAATAAACCATTAATTGCTGCAAAATCACCTTTTCCAAGTTTTGTGGCTTAATTTTCTTTTTCTGCTGCATTAATGACCATCAACTGCCAGATCTTTTTCAGTATGTGTGGTAAAAAACACCAAATCTTTGATTCTTTCTCCATAGTGTGATCTTTCCTGCTATGCATTAATTTCTACTTTAATTTGCTAATAGTTCTTTAAAATCCTTCCTAATGACTTAAATCAAGAACAAAATTCTGTTAACTCATTTTTGATAGTTCATGAGAGAATGGTTTAACAAGTCAACTTTATTGCTCAGATCAGCATACTTTTTGTTACAGCTCCATGATAAAATAAGCATTTCCTAGAACAGAACATACATAAAAATGTAAGGCTGAAAACAAACGGAAGAGATATTTTGTCACAAAAAGCAAGGTCATCTAGAAATCGACTTCGTTAAACTACACTGCTGGCCATCCAAATACATCCAAATGCAACGCCAAGAAAGACAAGAGATATCACAAGAAAATTTATTTAGTAGATAACATGTTGACCAAGTATCAAATGATTAAATTTATAGACTTCTATGGTGTCTGGTTCCTTCCAGAATCAGTAGCCAGAGTAGCCGCCATTGTTGGAGATCATCGCTGCCATGCGCCTCGGCATTGATTCAAAGAGACTTTGGATGTGTTCTTGGGGTACAGCAGACCAAGCAGCTTTTACACGTTGCCAAAGTTGATCTGGTGTGCCAGCTTGGGATGTAATCTGGATCAATTCTTCAGCAACCATGGACCACATGTTTTCTATCGGCGAAAGATCCGGAGAGCGAGCCAGCCAGGGAAGCAATTCAATCTGGCGATTGACAAAGAGCACTTTGACAATGTGTGCCACGTGTGGTCACACATTATCCTGTTGAAAATATGGCCGTGGGCAAGCCCTGAATGTAAGGAAGGACAACTGGCTCCAACACCTCAGAGATGTAGCGCCTGGCTGTTTAAATTACTGCCAGTGTGTACTAGAGGAGTGCAAGAGTGATATCCAATACCGCCCCATACCATAATATCCATTGCAGGACCAGTGTGGTGGTGCATAACACAGCTGTTCAGCATCCTCTTTCCACGGTGTCTGCAGACTCGAATCCGACCATCGTGGTGTTGCAGACAGGAGTGTGATTCGTCAGTAAAGACAATTTCATTCCATTCTGCTGTCCACATCCTTCTTTCATCGCACCATTGGCGGCGGAGACGTCTGTGGTTCTGCGTCAAGGATAGGTGAAGCAATGAACGTCTTGCGGACAGGCCACTGAGCCGTAAACGGCGTCGAATGGTACACACAGATACTGGATGATCCGTTACAGACTGAATGTGCTGTGCTATGGTTCGTGATGTGACTGAACGATCCGTCACTGCCATGCGCACAATGTTCCTGTCATCACATGAAGTTGTGCACTGAGGTGGATGCAATCGAACTCATCAGTCCGTCGTACCCTCCTGCATCCAACGTTCACATATCCGCATGTACAGTTGTTTGGTTTCATTCAACACGACTACCGATTTCCCTGAAAGATAATCCACACTCTTGGTAGGCCACTATCCTTCCTCTCTCGAACTCGAATACTTGATCAAATGATGATCGCTATTTACTACGAGGCATAATTAATTTTTTTTTTTTTTTTTTTTTTTTTTTTGAAAAAAACCACAAGAAAAACACAATTGCCGAGCTTGAAATCATCGAAAATGCCACCAACAAAATGAGTTTTAAAATAATTTTTTTTCTCTTCTTTTAAAGCAAAACTAAGTACCCATCTGCAAGGTTTTCGCAGAAATGAATCCTAATGCTGTTTTTGTTACTATGTTCAACACATATGTGGTATTAACAATTATAAATGCTACAATTGCATTTTTAGATACATGTGTATATATATATAGAGAGAGAGAGAATTTATATATACATATATACGTGTAGAGAGAAAATTTATATATACGTATATATATACATAAAGAGAGAATTTATTTATATATATACACCTATATATAGCCTTCAGTTTCCTTTTCTTTATCTTTTTCCTATTTTGCATGCCACGAAAATCTTAATGAATGCTATTCTTAAGCGTGTATTCCTATTCACATTGCGCCGATTGTAAACAGACCAGTTAAAACGAGGCTTATACATTTAAAGTTTGAACTGACGATCCCAAACAGAGAAGACACATAAATTCTTTATATATATATATTTGCCATGTATATTCAAAATTAATTTTATCAGATAGCAGAATATATAACCTAAAGTAGAGATTTATCCAAAATGAAATATTTGCTGAGATTCATGACCCGATGTGCGAGTAATTATAATAACAATTAAAATAAAAGGTGCTACTATTTATGCAAAGAAGTTATCTAACTTCATTAATAAATTTAATTCTCCTTTCCAACCAAAATATTATATTAATATAATGTGCTTTGTTAAAAGTTGCGAAGAATTTTGCCAACATGTTGAATTTTCATTTTGTTTGCTTCTGTTTGAAAATATGCATGGAGTAAGGAATTGCATATGAATCAAATTCTGCTCTAGTTCAAACATGAAAACATATGTGAGTTTTTCATCAGTGTTTGCACATATTAATTAACTCTTCTGTAATGTAATTTATTCTTTAACTTGTGTGATATTTATTTATTTAGAGCTGCTAATGTTGAGGCTGAAGCAAAATCTAATGCTGTGGATCAAGAGAGTGTCTCTGATGATAGTGCCCTTCACAATATTCGGTATGCATGAATCAAAATCTTTTTCTTTTCTCTTGTAGAAAAGTATGTCTTCAGTTTCAAGCTTATTCTTTCCATGAAAAAGCAGAGCATTGTGTTGTTGCTAAACACATATGTATGCTTAAAAACACTTGAAAAGGTTTTTTTTTTTTTTTTTTTTTTTTTTGAATTTTATGGTCTACCATGGTATTTGAATTTAAAACATAGTGCTTTCCAAAAGTTAAGCATGCAATGAAAATTAGCAATTTTTGAAGCATAGTTGAATTTGAGTGGTTAAAACTGCTGCAGATGCAGATGGCAGTGTAAAAATATCATGATACAGTCAGTCAATCACAATTCATTGTCCATACATGTTAATTTGGTAGTTGTTGAAGATGCAAGGATTCTGATGCATTTGAAAGGGAGCTTCATTTAAATGCTGATACTAGGTATTTATAATTTTCATAGAATAATATTTGATGTCATTTATCTTTCCATGTCTGAAAGAAGATGAATGGCAGACAGTGAGTACTGGCATATTGTCAGATGCATTGAATTAGGACAGTCAAACAAAGATGATGCTCTTTTATTTGACACTAATCATGCATAATTTCTCAAATGTGGAATCATTTCCAAATAAGCCAAACAGTTATCTGAAGACAGACCAGCACCTGGTTGGAGTACCAAGTATTTGTGTTTCACTAACTGCCCATTCCAGAGGGGCCAAGACTAAACTGGTGTCATCATCCTATCAGTTGAACTGTCTCACATTGGTGCAATGTCCTGTTCATAGAGAATTACAGATTTATTCTTAAATCGCATGATAAGCATGCAGCATCCTTTGTCAAAGATTATACTGTACATCCTTTGTTAGAAACATTCCAGGACAGTAAAAATATAAAATTAAAAAATAGAAAATTGCATTTACCAAGTAATGATCCTAGCTGCTATCAAAGTAGTCCCCTTGGCTATCTATACACAACTGCCAATGTTTCTAGGAGGTCTTGGAAACAAGCAGGGAAATCTTCAACTGCGATGCTTCCAATGTCATTCTTCACAGCCTGTTGGATGTTGATAAATTTGATGAAGCTTTCCTTTCAGTCACCATTTCATTCGCAGAAACAAGAAAAAATCACAATCATCTTTGATAGAAATGTGGGATCATGTCTGGCTCTGTCCAATAGTGTAGCAGAAATTCTTCATCTCTCCTCTTTCTCTTCATCTGTTAGTGAGTGAGGGACAATTCCTGCATTATGTTTCCATATCCCTAAATCTTTGCATAAAATATTATGACACACCACATCATGATTCAAATTCAGTTCTTCTAATATCATACTCACAGTTATACTTGCAATAACTGCCTTACACACTTCACATGTGCATCGGCATGTGCTGTGTATGGGCGACCAGCTTTGGGATCGTCTTGCACTGAATCTCTGCCTTCATGAAACCTTTTGTGCCACTCGAAAATACAACTTCTTGCCTTGTCTGCATATGCTTGCTTAATCCTGTTCCACGTTTCTCAAGGGGTTTTCCCGAACTTAACGCAGAACTTAATGTTCACTCTTTGCTTACAATCAGCATCCATTGTGTCACCTTAACGAATGCGACAATATTCCAAAAAGTGTGTTGTTAAACACAGATATTCCACCTAGTATGTTTGTGTAGAAACATGGCCAAGGTCATGTCAAGTAAGAATAGGTACCATGTGACTTAAAAACAACATTTGTTCCTTTTTAGTACTGAAAACTCAGAAATAAAAAATATTGTCCTGGAACTTTTCTGACAAAGTATGTCTATTTCTAGATGATAATGCTAATTCCACATTGAACCAATATTGTTAATGTGTGCCTGGAGGGTAATAGCAGTTCTCATGCGAAGTGGTCTCCATATTCCCAACTTTAATCCCACTGAAAATCTTCGTGACGCACTTAGGCATGTTGATTGTGCATTTGACCTCCTCCAGCCAGTCTTAGATAGTTGAAAAATGCCAAAATGCAGGAATGGCAATTGCTAGCATCTTTGCCAGATGAAAGCATGGGTAGTCACTGTAAAGTTTATGTGAAGATCCTGAGTAGTCATATAGCTTATTAACGGAAAGTTTGTTTTTAACTTTAAACAACCGTTTGTTAATCTCCCAAATGTCATATCATCATCATGTAATTTATCATCATGTAATTTAGGAAACTGGTTTCATCTTTAACAAACATTGATTTCATCTTAGTGCACAATGCTTTGTTTTCTTTCAAACATAAACTCATTTGCTACCTTCATATTTAATTTGCCGTTGATCGAAGCTTTAATTTTCCATTTTTGTTGATTTCGCCATCGTGTGCTTAACTTTTGTAATTTAGTATACTTCACTGATCCTGGATTAAGCTCTGTATCTAATAATCTTATTTTTAGAGTAAAACTTCTAAGTGAATCTTTCATGTTTCCTAGGATTAATGTTCTTTTATATTTTTCGTCTACAACCAGAAGAAATAATATGGGATATTTTTTAATCTGCCTTTTGTGTTACTGTGAGTTTCTATAAAAACTCAGATATTGATTGATAATGAAGAGTAAATGAAAAGTAGTGATTTTTATCTTGTTTGAATTTTTTTAAAGAGCATGTAGCATTGTTTTACAGCAATATGCTTTTATATGTGACATTTTCTGCTGGCCATGTTAAATGCTTTTATTTATCTATTTATTTATTATTATAGGAGCTCTGTCAGCAAATGGTTCCACATCCAAAAATTGCATCGAATTTGCCATGCAAACAGAAGAACTCTAATGCAGTATTTTGCCACTGCATTAGTAATCTGTATTGCTCTTTACTTTTCCTTTTTTTTATAATTCATTACATTCAGTTTACTGTATAATAATCATTTGGTTGTGAAATTCCATATAAAATTAAAAGCGTATCATTAGATATATTGAAGCCATATTTTGAGTTTGTAAGCAAAATGTGTGAAGGTCTTCACTTAAAACCTGTGATTATATATCATTATGGACTGCCATGGGTGAAAACATTCCATTGCAAATAACTTTTTTATATTCTAAACAAATAAGCATATTCTTTTGCTATGATATTCATGTTTAGTAATGCATAGTATTTACTTGGATTTTATTTGTTGATTGTCAGAGTGACTATTCTTAATTTACATGTTGTGAGAGATTTTATATTTTTTGCCTGGGCAGCAACATATCATATTTACTTTGCAAATTCATGAAGTGTGAAAATATTTTTTACCATTAGAAGTTTTTTCTAACCTTCTGAAGTGGTATGATTGCCTTTATCTGGTCATAAGATTTTTGTCACTTGGCACTATTACCTTATAATTTAAGATTTTTTGCATTCTTACTTTCTTTAATAATGTAAATGTCATCTTATCAAATTTAAGTTGATGAAAATAGAGACTAAAATAAGTAATTATACAAATTTAACTGATAAATGCTGTTTAAAGGCAGGTCGTCATGATGGATATAAAATCCTGAGCTGCTTAGAGTGTTAAATGTATGCTAAGGAAATAGCATTATTTTAGTTAAATGTTTTAAATATTGTTATACTTAAAAGTTAATTTACTTCATATCTCTTTTTTATATCGTTCAATAAATTCACTTGCTTTTAGTATTCGGTTAACTGAAATGCAGAATAGTTTGCATATTTTTGTCTATTTATTTATTAATTAGAGTGAAGTTAAATGACTCGGAATTAATTTCTTTGTGTTAATGGATTCCACCATGATTGAAAATTGTAATTGTTTGCTATAACTCTTCGTTACTTCTTAAGGAAGAAGTGAAATTGTAGAAGTTGTTTTCACTGTTCTAATTTTTTTCAATAAAGCAATAATCTGTGAAGTTGACTATTAGAAGATTTTGTGTAGATTTCACTTTTCTTTCCATGCAAAAATATTCAAATTCCAGATTAATTGCTACCTTTCAAGAACTGTTAAAAATTGCAGAAAAATAACAATAAAAAATGCTGTAATAACATATTATAGGGGTATTGTTTTATAATAGTTTATTGGTACATTGGAATCAGGGGTATTGTTTTATAATAACTGTAATATGGAAAATATTTTATCCTGTTGTCACCTGTAAAATTGTTGTCTAATTCTTAAATTCAAGATGTATTCGAAATTAGAGCATACCATATTCTTGCACACGGCTGTTAAGAAAAAAATAATGATAAATCCATTTTGTATGAGAAAATCAAATTAGATGTTATTCTCTTATATCTAGAATGAAGTAATGTTAAATATCCCTTACAATGAAAAGCAGTTATTTTCTTTTAAATATGCTTTAACATTTGTGTTATGTAAATTGTCATCTTTCTATTAAGATTCTCCTCTTTTATTTTACTGTGCCAACTGTATATTAATCTTCAACCAAACAATATTTACCTTAGTTTATTACTTAGTCTCTTTCAGCTGAATGTATTTCATTGTATTGATCAATTCCACAATACATACCATATACTTTTATACATGATTATTATTAGACATACTTGCTTCAAACTAAGTTTATGGCACTAAAGTATTTTAATTTCATGCAGTGAAGCAAAAACTGATTTTATGATAACTAGTACCAATATTCATACTTTTTTAAATTTGACTCAACAAAAATTGTTGAGCATACATATTTTTAAGCATTCTATAATTTGCAAATGAAGATATTCAAATAGTACTTAGGGCATATTGGACCAAATATGGATAAAAAAAGCATGAAGGGGAGGTCTGTTTAATATACATGAACTTTTTTTTAGTCAGTTACGTATATTCATCAGCGGTGTTTTTAAACTTTAACTTTCTTCTTGATTAAGTTTGTTCTTTGTTTTCTGTTATCCAAATTCATTTTTCTCATCTCATTGATGTCACATAATTTTTAGAGTAATAAACTTTATTTTGTTATATCATGTAGTGTATATAAAAGCTTTAATCTTAGCTATGTTTAATTTTTCTAGAAAATAAAATAAAGGCTCATTATATGTAATTTCATATGGCTATGGTTACGTTAATGGCACTTTTTGATAAACTCAACTAATTTTTAATATCTTATTAAACATATTACTTTCTGCTTCTTATGCATCTTGATACAAAGTGCTGAAAAACTATTTGAATGTTTTCATTATCTTGTTACATCTCATAAAATGAGGTATGTAATGCAGATTCAGCTTGAACGTAAGTTTTAATGTGTTACCATTTCATGGTATTTCGTGCTTTCACTGTGTCATAACTTTTATTATATGCACATATTATCCTCAAAAATTTCATCTGTCCCATTTGTTTAATGTCATGATCAATGGTCACAAAATCATGTAAGCAATAGAATTGTTAAAATTGTAATATCATCAACATAAATCTGGACAGAAGATAAAATATTCTTTGTAACCATTCTGATGACAGTAGTAGATAGTATTTCTTAGATCAGTGGTCTCAAATTAAAATTGTATGCTGGCGGAATGCACAGTCTATAACAGGCTGCTACCTTTTTTTTTTTTCCTATCTAAATTCCAAATTTTGGTGCTTGCAAGGGATTTCTTTTGGTTACACTATGCAGCTCAAATGCATTGACAGATTATGTTAAATTTTCAAACTGATGTTTATTTCATATAATTCTTTAATATATTGAAATAACCAGTAAATAACTTAAGCTAAAATAAATTTTATGAACGCTTTCCAGATATTCAAAGAAAACTTTCAAAATGTGTTAACATGAAAATAAATAATGGCAACCTTCTTTTTTTTTTTTTTTTATTAGATTTTCTTCAACGCATGCTGAATAAAATAGGTTTATTTGTATATAAATTATTATAGACTTCTTAATTTCTTACTACAACTTGACACCTGATAGCATTTCAATTCTGATAAAATTTGTAGCCTTGGAAGGAAATAACTAGAAACTGTGTTAATTGTGGATTGTAGATGCTCATTCGTCAATCAGGTTCTTAATATTCAGATGCAAAAATCTGTCCACATACAAATGTACTCCCAAACCAAATGATAGTTCTTACTGCAAAAATTCATGACTAAGGGCTTTATCTTTTGACAAATCTGAAAAAGGTTAATTAAATCTGTGTATCTTCTAATTTTTAAATAAGATTTGTGTCTCACTGGTAAATTAATTAACACCATTTGTAGGTTTTAATGATAATGAAAATAATGTACAAATGGACTACAAATCATTAAAATCAATATATCATCCTTCAAATTTTTCTCATGATAATGCTATTTTTCTTGCATATTTTTGAGATTTTTCATTTGAAATATCAAGGTAAGATTTAAGATGTAGGAAATGCATAAAATATTTTGATTAATGTTGTATTCCCTGTAATTGCGTTTTAACTTTAAAAGTTATAATGCAAGCATAAATATCAGTGATAAGTTTATTCTTTCCTTGCAGCTGTTTATTGAAAAAATATAAATGTCAGAAAATACTTAATTTGTTATCCATGCTTCATTATATCTTCACTATATAGCTTGTTGATAGTTTTATTTACATACATTTGTGTCATGAAAATTTTGATTTCATTAGTTAAATTAAAAAACTGTTTTAATACAGCTCCTTGGCGTAGTTGCCTCACCTCGTTATACTAAATAATCTCTCTGTACTGCCTTTCAGTTTCTTCAAGCATTCTAACAAACTCGGTGATTCAGAGCTTGTTCACAGATAAAGTTTATTGCTTAGTTCTATTTCATTAATCTTATACATCTACATACTTTTGTCAGCGTATTTACAATAAATGCATAATTAAAATGTATTCTCAGGCTGCATAAATTTGCTTCAGGGCTGTATGCATCCTGTAGTCACCAGTTTGAGACCGCTGCCTTAGATCATTGTCATCTTCTCAGTTAGAAATGGTGCTGATTTCATTCATGCAGGTATTTTTAAGTCCTGCCATTTTAAATCTGAGCATCATATATCAAAATTTGTGATCAACAGCCTTAGGCAGATCATATTTGATAAGGCAGCATGTGTCAGGAATTGTTTTACATTTTTTCCCATTTTAGGACTTCAGTTTTTTGTCATATGGAAATTTACATTAAATCAGTCAATTATTTATCTTGTACTAAATGAAATTTATCTGTTTGTAGTCATTGAAATATCTGAAATTTTAATGCATTTAGATAGAAAACCAAACTTAGTCCCAAACATAGTCTAGAGATTTTAACCATGACTGTCTTAGCTGTGCCCATATTAAATGGCTTCTATTGTGTTAAGAAAGAGAAAGTGAATTACCCTGAATCAAAATCTTTGGTTTTATACCATGTAAAAATTTTATATCAAATTTTTATTTCCATATATATCTTGTTTTCTGCAAAGGGGAATTCTAGGAAACAAAATCTTATGTTTTATACCTTGTAAAAAATGTATTCCAAATTTTTATATACATATATATTTAATATACACTGCGGGGGGTGGAAAGGAACAGTTCTATATCTCCCGTTTCACTTGACCTATTGTCGAAATTCAACTTGCGTTTTTCATGTCTCGAAAGCGCGACTCCAGATATGTATTACATTTAAATAGCATTGTTTTAATATAGGTATTCTGACACAAAATCGCACCTTTTCTGAAATGTCATGCCAATTTGTTTCCCTATTTCGATTCTACGAGTCAAATTATGCCAGACTGCCAATGGTCAAATTATGCAAGACCACCAGCGGCCGAGCGGTAAAGTTGCTGAACACTGGTAGTTCAGTCTGAGGTTCGAATCCCGTGAACGGGCTGGCTGCATGGGCGTTTTCATGGTTTTCTTCATGTGTAACGTCTATACGAGTCAGTGCCCTTAGAAAGTCCTCCACGAAGGCATCCCTCCCCTTAGGCAGATAGCCCTAGTGTGCTTTACCATAATTAAATACGAGTACACCACCAAAATGCCAAATTTTGTAAAAATAGCATGAGCAGTTCTTTAAAAATTAAGTCTGAAAATTTTAGCTCCTCAATATTAATTGAATTTGATATATATTTATTAATACAGTCAAAAGTCGTTAATCCGAACTCGTCGGGACTTCGGCGATTCCGTATTATCGATTTTTCCGGATTATAGATCATCACTTTAAATCTGGTAAGATGGCATGCAGAAATTATAAAATTAAAAATATGAAACCGTAATTTATGAAATAAAGAACAATTATGATCTAAAGGGTATCAAAATTTACAAAAAAAAAAAAAATGCTTAATATTTATTTGTTTACTTTATTAAGCATTTCTTTCAATGTAAGTAGTTTAAGTTGCTTCGTTTTTTATGTGATAATACATTCTCTTTAATTCTATAAACAGACATAATTTCTTGTTCAGTTACAAAGTTCCGCTGTTCAAGTCCTATAATTGCTGTGTCGAGAATACCGACTAATTTGTCAATCTAAATTTTTTCGTTTTCAATAACCTCTGTTACTTTCTTCGCTATCGGAAGCGAATTATAATGATGAGGAATTTGATTTAAATCATATCAAAGACAGAGTACATCGAGATGAAATACTACATTTAGTAAGGAATTATAAGCCAAATAAAATAAAAACATCTGCCCTGAAGATAAGGATAGTGCTGATAAATCAACTTCCAATTCATTGCGCAGCGTGGCGTTAAAGATAAACAAAGTTTAGATAAACAAACGTTAAAGTTTAGATAAACAAAGTATATGCCTTTATCCATTTTTTGCAGCAATTCCACTTTTTGTTTAATGGACTTCGAAACATGCTTTTGCTTTAGAAATTCTATTTGACATAATCGAAAGTTCAAGCTTACTTTTATAAAATTCCTCTAACAGTCTGCAAAAAATAATAAGCCGAATCCAATTCGAAGATTAAGGAACAATGCAATCTGCAACATTAACTTAATTAGATAATTTTAGCTAACTGAATTAGATAATTTTAGCTTAGCTTATACCATCCGTTATACATTAAACGTGCATTCGTAAATGTATTTTGCGCACACACACACACATATTCGCAGTCGTAAAGGTCTTACGCGCATGCGTCAACATGCGACGCATGCGCAGAAAGTTTGTAGCTTTGAGGTCCGGATAATGGGTGTCCGAATTAACGACTTTTGACTGTATCTCTTTTTTTTATTAAACTTACTTGATTCCTTCTTCCAGAATTCGAAATTTAGGCTTAATGCAAACATAATTTGCACATTTTTTATTATTTATTTAAAAAATTTATATTTAAAAATATATTTGTGTAAATTTTTAGAAAAATATTTTGAATTATAACCTATGAAATTTTTAACATTATCTTAAAGTAGATGTATTTCTAAGCATATCTAAAAAAAATTAGAGTTTTTTATTCAAAATTTCGTAAGATGTACGTGAATTTACATTTTGTCATCTTTTGAAATTTGGCATATTTAATATAAGCGATAATAACGAAAATGTGGTTTATGCAGTTTGTTAAAATTATTTAAAAGAATGAACCGTGGACCTGTTTTCCTCTCGTGCATCAATGAAAAATAAGGAAAGTAAATATGTTACTATAAATTAAGAATTCCGCCAAGATAAATTTTAAAATTTCTCACCGAAAATTACAAAATTTAATATCTAGGCATAATTTGAGTCGTAGAATCGAAAAGTGATATGTTATTTCAGAAAAAGTCAGATTTTGTGTCAAAATATGTATGTTGGAATAATGCTATATATAAATCTAATATATAACCTATGTTGCACTTTCGACAAATGAAAATGCAATTTAAATTTCGTCAATAGGCCTAGTAAAACGGGAGATACAGAACTGTCACCCCTTTTTTGTGCTGTGTACATTGATTTTACCATAAAAGTCTCTGTTATGGAGATTCTTAAGCAATACTGCTTTGTAGTTTTTACTATGTTCATCCTAATTTCTAGGTTAATTTATTACATATTATGGCCAGTAGCTGCTCCTATGTTAATCTAATTGCATACGTGTTTGGTATATTTTTCTGCCACAGGCCATACAGTTTCCTGTGAATATACACAAAGCATAGTGTGGCTGCTATTGAAATGCTATTTAATTTTTATAGCCTACTTACTTTTTGCATTCAATAGAAAAATGCTTTAAAGATATATGCATTAAATGAAATATGAATATGCTACAAATAATAAAATGTAACATATTAACCAAGGAATTAGTATTAATATTCAATCTGAGAAGAATTAATACGATTGTAAATTCCTCATTTCACCCGGTGTTTTTTTTTTAAATTAATATATTTATAAAAGTGAGCTGAATTTCTTCAAAAAGTGCTTTAAGTCTGTGATTATGAGATAATTTTTGCTTTGTGGACAGCTTTCAACTTACACTTTCTTATGTTAGCATTCTAATTAATAATGTATTTCTGCATTTATCAGTTATGTCATAATTTTTATATTGTGGAATATTATATGAAACAAGTGTACTGATGATATGTCAGCTTCTTTAACTTGTTTTCCTTACTTCATTTCAATAAAATTATTTTAAGAACTTATTATTCATAAACCATTCTAACATTTTCATTTGAAAACATGTTTCATGCTACTTACTTAAAATAGAAAGTTGTTTGTTAAACCATTGCCTCAAATGTCAACTTGAAAGTATGCTTTTTGGGAATCACTAGGAATCTGTATTAGCTATTAAAAGTTATTACCATACTTACATCTAAAACGAAAAGCTTATTGTGTTTTGTAATATCTTTTGTACATAGTATAGCTGAAAGGTTCCAAGAATAAATCAGAGAAAAGAATATGTTAAATGATTTGAAACCAAGCTTAGATCATTCCTTGAAGTCTGTCTAACTTGGAGAACTCATGTGTTACATTGAACTCTTGAATATGTGAAAAGGACATGCATCATCATTTGTTTGTGATTGTCTTGAGTTTTGGAAACATAAAAGTGCTTGCCAGGATTAGATCCAAGGAGTAAATGGAATGCCTGAGTGTCTATATTGTCTATATTGTCGTGAACAATGGGCCATTCTACACTTCCATATAGTTTCGATCTAACTCACCCAATACGTTTGAGATAATCTATCACTTCCTTATGGAATAAAGCATTTTCTATGTTTCCTTCAGATACAAATTCGAAATTGGTCATTCCAAGGAAGTCAAAGAAAAAATGAGCATCATTTATTTTTGAGTTCTTACAGCCCTAAGTTTCCTCCCTTTCCATAAACTGACCGCTCACTGATTTGTTTCAGAAGTGGATCAGATATATACCGTACCATGGTTCACAGCACCTCTTATTATCTTGCTGATAAATTCTGTATTTCCATTGCCCATGTTACATAAAGCTTTCTGCAGCCGTCAGTCATTTGTATTTTTTATTTTGAGGTTTGGAGTAAACCTCATAAACCTTTGTTGCATCATGCCCACTCTAGTAGACAAAAGTTTAAATCTGTTTATTCTTCTGTAAATGCCTTAACAGATTCCATTCCTGTGTTTATTCATTCTATAGTAGTACTTTCAACTGTTGATCATAGATGGCTGTATAGCATCACTAAGTAAAGCATTGCTATTTGGAAAATGGCTGATACTTCTGTTTCCAAGTTAGTACAATTTCTCATAGTAAACATTATATAATATTGCTTACATTTTCTTCTTATACTGCCATTTTTTATTCATAATTAGTAATTTTAGACATTTTATTTTAAATGCCAGTTTGAGAAAATTGTGGAGTGGGTAGATAAAGATTTATTGAAAATAGTGAATTGAAACCCAAATGTACTGCTTATCAAGCCAAGACACCACTGGAAATGTTTATGTTTGGCAAGGAATTTCTAGAACATTTGGCATTTGAATCCAATAGGTACAGGTTACAAAATCGTAGCAAAATGAATTCAGTCACAATCGACGAAATGAAGGTGTTTTGGAGGATCTGTATGTACATGTCAGTTGTAGATTTACCATTTAGAAGATGGTAATGATCACTGCAAACAAGACAGGAAATGATTTCAAATGCAATGACCATAAATCGTTAGGAAGAGATTTGTATGCATGTACGTATATGCATGCTGTCCACTGTAGTGAACAAACTGTAGCAATTATTTAAAACGAAATTTGAATAAAATAATTTTTTTTATTATTACTAAGGTTATTTTAAGTAGAAAAAATTCAAACATTTTCATTTAACTTCTCTAGATTCTTTGTATGCAACAAAAGGTTAATTTAGACCTTTCTCTGGTAAAAATCATCATAGGAATTGCAGTGCATTGTCTTACTAATATTCAATAATTTTTCTACCATCTTGCATTTTAACAGAAGATCCTTAAGTAGAAATTTGTGAATGATTATACATATGCGTCAATGTTGATTGCTGAAGAGAGTCTCTTTTTTTCATCATACTATAATGATACTAACTGTATAAAAAATGTGAGTCACTTATATACTCTGTCCTGAGATTCATCAATATTCATTTGCTTGTTTTCATCAGTTTGTTTCTGACACTTTTTTGTTTTTCATCTGAAGCACAATTTGGTCTTTTGCTTCATCCTTAAAACTGTGACGAGGACAAAATTGTAGCCAGGAAACAGGACTTTGCTCACTGTGGCCTTAGTAGAGCTGAATGAAAGAGATGATATTCACTTACTGGGACTTCATCAGAATATCATATTTCATCCTATGAAATAGAATGAATAAAACTTCCAACTAAAAATCATTCTTGGAACTTTCCTGAGATACTGTGTACTTTTCAACCACAAAAACTGCATACATTGTAATATACTGTAAAATATACCTAATTTTATTTATGATACTTTTAGTCATTCCC